TTTTGCTAAAAATTTTCCTATTCAAAATTATTGTAGAGGTTTTTATCCATATTAAAGCTACTAAAAATATGACTGTCTTACATTTAATAGCAGTTTTGATAAGTAGGTTTTAGTCAAGATTGTGAAAGAGCTTAGCAGCATATGATTTTATTTTTCACCTTAGTTGTATTTATATTTATGAGTAATTGTTTATGTAACATTAGTTTGGATGCGTGTACATTCATGGGCCTTCATTCCAGGGTGTTCACCTCAGTGGAATCAATGCACTCTCCTTGTGGATTTATCATCATATTTCACTGGTGAAACTTTAGGATTACTGTAAGGCAGCCCTGGGTACCTCTATTTAACTACCTTGTTATTGAGACTTTTTCTCTGCATTGCTTTTTATGTGGAAATGTTTTCTTCCTTTCAGGCAAGGAAATTACTTTTGAAGAAATATAAATTAGCTTGTCCGTGTCCCTTTTGAAGTTACTTTAAAAGTGATGTTTGTAGTTTTGGGCATTTTTTCTAATAACTTTAATGTAACTTGAAAGCTTTCACATTTTCCTCTTCATTTTCTTTACATTCTATGTTATCTGGTGACTTTTATCTTTTATACAAGTGTGAAAGTACTTGCTGGGACCTATCTTTTCATAGTCTTATAACACTCACACATGCATCATCTTTTATTTTCTTTGAAGTTGAGACTTTCTTCCTGAGTCATAAATTTTGGTATGTTTTATATATTTTATTTTATGCAAAATAATTGCAATAAATAGTCAAAGTACTTTTTAGCAGTCTTCACTGAAAGCCCTGTTACTTGATAGGGTGCAGTATTTATTTTAGATCATTATTTTGGAAAGGGAATTAATCTCTTTCCTGTTTTAAACTATAAACTACTAATACTAAGCCTCTTCCAAGTGACAGTCTTTATATGAGAGATAATAAAATATCCTAGAGTTTACTTTCACCTCAGTTATGTTTGAACTAGTTTTGTACATCTACAAAGTAACCATTTAATGTTAGGGCTGAAGTGATGAATATATGATATATGTATACAGATGTATATATACACACAAATAAATACACGTATCTATATATGTATATATATTTGGATGCCAGTTTATGAAAAATATTGAAACATTTGAATTTTATTCTATTGAAATGACCAACATACATTGTGCATTGTATCTCATTGTCTTATTTTACTTGTCTTTATACTAGTATTTGAATTACTGCAGTTTTGTAAAAGAAGGTATATTTATGGAGGATTAACCAGAGTTATTCATAAGTAGACTCAAGATTAAACAATTGTAAAACCTTTGTTGTAGGTTCTTAGAACAAACCTTAGCAAACAGTTTTGTGGTGGACTAAAACATATTTAACTCACTTTGGCCAATTGGAAGAGGCCTACCATAGTCTTCCTTATCTCGAGTACTCTTATTTAGAAATTAAGGTTACTGTTTTACTTTGTGTTTACTGGAAATTCACCACTTTCATTTATTTCTGGGATTATAAAATAAAGAAACTGAAGAAGTATGGAACTTCAAGATTTCATTTATTTTGTCCATATTATTTATGTATGAAAAGGGTTTCATTTCTGATAATATAAAAATTTATTTTATGTATTTATATCCACGGTTATTTTACTTTATATTAGTTAAGCCAGATTAATCATTTTATTTTTATCCTTCCATGTGTTTTCCTAACCCTGAAATATAAATTAAATTAGATAAAAATAAACTCCAAAGCCAGTTGACAGAAGGGAAACCACCCACTTTGGTGCTGCTCACTGTTCCATCTGTTGGTTGTCGATAGTCAGTTGAAATAGATGGCACTTTGTTCACATCTTGTTTTCCTGTATCATAGAAATTTTTTTTGATATTTTATGAACTCTGATTTGCTTTCAGTATAAATTCATGAGTTAGAAACAAATATTTTTACGAGTTATACACATACATGTGTACATATGAATAAACTGTAATATTTAGACATTTTGAATAGCTGCCACAAAGCTTACTGGCATTTATTCCACTGCATAAATTTGACATTATGTAGCTTGACAGAGGTTTTCAGTGTTTTACTTAATTGTCCTTATTATCATTGAATTTGGAAGTTTGGTCACATATAAGATTGTAGTATGTATAATATAAATTACTTAAGGAGAAATTCTTACTTGTCCAACCATATATAATTTATTGTTATTTGTGTAAATGTTGATTCGTCAACAATGAGATTTAACAAATTTAGAGAAAATAGTTCAGAAGTGAATATATGCAGCCCAGTTTAGTAATATTAAAGATGTTGAAGTACTGTCTTACTTTTAAATTTAGTTTGTCAAATAAATTATTTTTACTTTGGAAAAATCATCATACTTTTGACTTACTGGTAAATTGAAATAAGCCTAGCTCTAAAGAATGAATTAAAATGATGCCTGGTAACAGTAATAATTTTACTCTTTCTCAATTTAGATACATTGTATCTAATACATTCCAGTCTCTTCTATGAATATTTTCGACTTCTTCTCAAGTAAATGTACCATAGACTCACTAAGAACCAGGTGACCTCAATAGCTCAGATTGTTCTCTAAGCAAGTAAAGTTTTTTCTGATCGTACTGGGGTTTGAACTCATCTGCCACTTGATCCAAACCTCCATCGCAAATCAAATTCTTAAAAAAACAACAAAACAAAAAAAGTTAGGATGTGTCAAGTGAGTTTAAAGCTTTCATTTAGCTTTAATAACTGAATAGTTACTACATAATGTGGAAAAACTTGGAACTGAATCTCTAATTCATAATCCTTTGGAACTTTTAGACAGTGTATCTATATTACAATTATCATCCTGATACTTTTTTTTCCTAATGTAGTTCATGTCAAGAGCAAGATATGTTATGAAATGGCTAACTTCTTATAGATACTAAGCAAGCTCTTTGATAACTATAATTTGTTATTTGAACCTACTGTTTTTGTTTTTGCTTATTTTGGTGCCATTTCTCCCTCTGATAAACTCCTCTTTTGTGATTCATTCAAGGACACCATGCTTCAAAAACCTTGTTTGTTGTAATCTTAGACAGTTTTTATGTTTTTCTTTATGAGTTCTTAAATGCTTTTAGTTGATGGCACGTCATTAAAACTAGAAAGAAATCTGTGCCTTTCACAGTTTTCTTGCTTGAACAATTTGGTACTTTGAGTACTTAAGTTTGGATTTAGCAATCTTTTAAAAACTATACTAGTAATTTCATTAACACTGAGGAAATATGCTATGAATTATCTTTGGTAATGGTCATGTTGGCCATTGTACTAATCTGAATTTTCCTTTCCACTGGGCATAATTCTCTAATATACTTGTTTTGAACTGTGAGAAATCTTCACTGAGCATAATAATATTATTGCTTATTTAAGTAATATGTAGAATTGTAGAATAAGAGATCTGCTTTCTCAATAATTTTACTTATCTGTATTTAGGATTCAATTATTAACCTTGGATTTAACATGGAAGAAAAATCACTAAGTTAGGCATTGGGATGCCTCAGATTGAGGTTTATTTCTCATTCCATCGTGTGTAACCAGCAAGTCTTTCCTCTGGAGTGCTTCTTTGGAGCTGAGATAGTATGATTTTATATTCTTGTTTTTTCTAGCTAGAAATTACATTTTTTGTTTTCAGTTACTACTTACATGCGTCAGTTATTATCATTTGGTAATATATGCACTTAATTTAAAATGACTGTTTTAGATAATTACAAATAAACTTGTTCATTTTAAAGTAACACTTCAATAAAAATACATACATGGCTATAGAAAAAGAATTGATGATTGTATGCTAGAATGACTAATTGGCATTTTGCCGTATGATAAATATGCATTGTCACACTGCATATGGCTATGAAGAAAGTTTCAACTGATGGAATCGTATCATATGCTAAAGATTTAATATATTAGCAGAAGTGGCAAATATAGTTTGAACATCTCTAATTTAAAAATCTGAAATCTGAACTGGTTCAAAATCTGAAATTTTCTGAGCAACAGTTCTCATAAAGCTTTAGATTTTGGAGCATTTCAAATTTTGTGTGTTTGGGTTAGGAATGCCCTCTGGTAGAGTCTTTGCAAAGATTCTAAAATCTGAAAATCTGAAATTTGAAACATTTCTCAAGTATTTTGAATAGGGAATAATCACCCTGCAATTAAATTTTTCAAAAGAATTAAAAGTATGATTTGGAGCATTAGCATATCTACTTGAAAAATTCAGAAGTACATGATACAATTGCTACTTTGTTACCTGAAAAATGGTTGAATGAAAAGATTGTAGAAATGTTTGAAGGCTTTTTGAGCATTATGTTCAGAACTTTATAGAAATAGAATGAGTAATTTGATATTTTCTCTGTAATATAGTTTACTCTTCCAAAACTTTATTTGAAATGCAGTGGTCTGCATATAGGGGTTATAATCTAGAGACTGTGCTATGTGGGTGGAGATTTTAATTTGCCCTTTCAGGTGGCAAATATGTTCTGAAATAGGATGTATATTTTTTTAGTTCTATTTTAACTGGGATTTGGGGATTTGTGAGATCTTTGCATTCTATTTTTTAATGGCTGCTCAGGAATTGTCTTTTTATATTGCACAGATATGCATATGTATAGGAAAACAATAGGTGTGATATGACTCCAGGTTCATCATTTCATCTGTGGAAATGATAAGCAATAGGTTGTGAAAATTGAAATGGTATAAATAAATCATAGTTATGTGATAAGTATGAAGTGTTGAGAGTAAACCTTCAGAATAATTTTGGAAAATGTATTTTTCCTATCAGGTACTTGTTTATTTAAAAGCAAAACTGTGAAGTGTGTTTAATTTGTTATGGTTTTTTTTTGTATGACATAAATTATAACAAAATGCAGTGGAGCAATACAACATTAATTAAAAATATTAATTTTCCTAGTGTGACTTAAGCAGTAACATTTAACTAAGAAAATTGGTTTTTATCATTATTTAAACATTGGATATTTTTGTGCATTTTCTTTTAGAGAACCAGAGGACGAAAACGAAGCTTTGTTCCTGAGGAAGAAAAACATGAGGTCGGAATAAGTTAAGCACTTTTTATAATCTGAACTTTGAGGAACGTTCTTGTTTAAAATCATTCTTGGTCCCCTCATATTTTAATTTTTTCCCTTTTGTTCTCCACTGTATGGCAGGAAAGAGTTCCTAGAGAAAGAAGACAAAGGCAGTCTGTGCTACAAAAGAAGCCCAAGGCTGAAGATTTAAGAACTGAATGTGCAACTTGCAGAGGAACTGGTGACAATGAAAATCTTGTCAGGTAAGCGGAATGTTGAGACCTTGTCTACAGGTGACTAAAGTCCCATGTTCATCATTTTTCATCACAGATAAAGTGAAAAATATTACAATATAGGAAATTCATAAAAATTTAATGAGTACAATACTTCAGAGACAGATTTTAGCCACTTACTAACCTGTCATACATGGTTATACTCTGGATTTAGATGTAAATAATGTTGATAATCTAGATTTTGACACTAGAGAATTAATTTTCTCTTGACAAGAGAAGTTGACAATGCTTTGTACATAAAAGCCAAAAAATAATTTAATCTAACTCCCTTGTACTAAGATTATTATGTTTTATCTCATAAAGCCATAAAGTTACTACTCTGTTAGCATATTATAAAAAGCTGGTGATTATTAGCAATGATGGTAAGGCAGATTTTTAATTGGCAAGAGTTTCAGTAACTCTTTATTGCTTACCAAAATGAATGTGTTAAATGCTTCTCTCTTATGAAATAAAGAAAGGTGAAAAGATGGCCTAGATAGATTTTGGTTTTTGTTTTGCATTCTTCTTTGTTTTGTTTTGGTACTTTTTCTTTTTAATCAAACATAATGCCAATCAGGAATCTCAGTAGATGCTGCACAGTGGCTATTCCTAAGGGGTTAGAATGTCTAATGTCAGCTATTTTCCCCTTTGGCTGAAGTGAAGAAATTACTCAAAGTGTTGGGAGAGGTGGGAAAATAGGTGGTTTCACTGGGCACCCAGAAATTGAACATTTCAAAGAGAATAAGCTTTTGTTAATAAAACAAATATATTATTATTGTTATGTGATTTTAAATATCTATTTTGAAAATGTCATTTATTTCAGCCATTGATAATATAATTTCTATTTGTGTTAATTCATCAAACAAAAGCATGTAGTTTTAAAATTAGATTTTTTACTCATTAGTTTTTTTAAATCAAATCTTTTATCACTTAAAGAAGATAAGGAGAAAATAAAAATACAATATAAAAAAGAAATACAAAGTGCTTCAACAGCGTTGAGAAAGTTTATAATATTTGCCTAATGTTTTTTGAAATTGTTCATGTAGGTTGAAGTAGTTCCAAGTTCAGGAGATGCACATGAATGCTTCGAATTGCAGTGTAATTTTTTGGAGTGTGTCAAAAGTGAGATCCCAAAATAATCATAATATAATGGCATTTATGAAGCTATAAAAGGAAACAAAAATAACAATCTTTTATCATAAATAAAATTTAATATGGGGAAATTTCATTGGGGTTGGGGGTAACGTTGAGGAGTGTGATTAATGTGAAATAGTAGTTACAAATTTAAAAACCTGGTGATCTTTTTTAATTATTTGAATCTTTATAAATATATACCCTCTTACTAAGGTTTTTTTTTTTTTTCTTTTTTTTGAGATATTGGAGTTTGAACTTAGGGCTTACACCTTGAGCAACTCCACCAGCCCTTTTGTTGATGGGTTTTTTTGAGATAAGGTCTTGTGAACTGTTTGCATGGGCTGGCTTTGAACCATGATGCTCCTGATCTCTGCCTCCTGAGTAGCTAGGATTATAGGTGTGAACCACCAGTGCCTGGCTCTTACTAAATTTTTTCAGTTGTATTATGATTCGGGAATTTTTGCTATAGGATTTATACATTTTTTCATAGCTTTTTTGCATGTGTTTACATAACCTAGGATATGAATATGATTTTTGTTTTGAAAATCATTTTATAGCAAGTTACTTCCAGCACATCATATTTTAGTTGTGTTGAAAAAGTAGGTATCGTCTTTCTTCTAATCTTGATAAGATTTTTGAATAGTATTAAAACTTGGTTCTCTATTTCATTAATTTTTATTATAAAATATCATTTCTAGTTGCATTATTATAATATGCTTGAGTGTGGAATTTTGTGAAAGCCTTCTTGAAGGTAAAAATATTTTTATTATTCTAGAAATGATGGATATACCAAGTCATCTTTCTTGGTTTTGTCTTATTAAGAAGATAACACTATAAATTATCTTTAAAAATTTTAAAGAGACAGTGAAGAGGGAATTAAAATATTTTAATAATATTTTTGAGGTTAAGATAAGCTGGTTATAAAGCAATGGTATAGGATTTCATAAAAATAATCTTATAGTTAATATTTGCCATTTTGCCTTGGATCTCATTTATTTTGGAATTAACCTTACCTATTTAAGAATTCTTCCTCCAAATTCTACTGTGCTTATTTTCTCATGTTTCTTTGAACTGATATCCATAACTTTGTAGAACCTGCTCTTTAGCAATCTTAATTTAAAAACCACACTTCTCTATGTAATTCAGGCTGTCTTGAAAATTTCTTATTTTTCTTGCTTTTTCAGTTACGTGTATATGTTTTTATGTGAATTTACATGTATTTTTTTCATACTAGGAAATTGCATGCAGTTTATCATTAAACTGTGTTTAGGTTCTAACTGTTGTTTTCTGCTTTGCCTATAACTTTTTCTTAGGTGTTTTATAAATAATTTAGTATTTCCATGCCTCAGTTTTTCTCCTGTTGTACGTAGTCAAAATCTTACTTTGTTTAATTAGGTATTTTGTGAAAAATTGTGAAGTGATGGTAAAATCACTTTATAAAATTAAGTATTATTTAGCTACACAAAGGATGCAATATATGTTTATGTTAAAATAGGGTTATGATTGGTAAATATGTTTTTGGTAATAATAAATGCTGATTTTTCAACCTATCAGAAAAAAATATATATCCTGTTTTTGTATACAATTATTTATAGAATGTAAGAGGCAAAAGGAAATTTGAAATTTGTCATTACATGTTCTCTAGAGTGATTAGCTTAGCTATTTCCACTAGATGTGGGAAATGTGAAAATTACCAGTGTTCTACAGAAAATGATGGTTTATAGTATCTTAAAGATTTTTTAATAGTGCATCCATTTTGCCATCTTCTTTTTATGTTTAATTAAAAATTACCTGGAGTTTCCCATTAAAAACATACTCATTGATGGTAATGTGCAATTTAAATGCTAAAGGCCAAATTGAAGGTGTGTTAAATTGAAGAACTTTTTAGGCATTTATCTCTTTTGAGAGAGGTGTTCTTTATTGGACTTGGACTTGTCCACTTAGTGATGCCTTATTTATATTTGTTTCCACATTTAGTGCTCATTAAATGTTTGATAAATGCTTACTAAGTAAACTCCATATAAGTAATGGCTCATTATTCTTTCACTGAATTAACAAACTCTAATCTGAGAGCAAAGTTACTAAATAAGTGTTTGATAGAGGTGTTTGAAAGTCTTAATAGTGAAGGATTTCTCACGTCACTAAAGTATAGTAATTTTTTTGTATGTATGCGTATGAGGTAAGAAAATAGAAACCACAGATTTGAGATTATTTAACTCATTTTTGCAAAAGTAGAAATGAAGTGATTCCTTTCTTTGAATATATTTGATTTTTCAAAAGACATATTTTATACATAAGTAGACTTTTTCTTCTCTGTAAGCTTTTAATTATGCTATCAAATTAAGAATGAGGAAAAAAAAACTTTTAAACCACAATTTTATATTAGCTTAGTAAACTCAATATGGCACATTTTATTATTTAATGAGAGAAGATAGAAAAAAGTTTTGTAAAGCTAATAATCCTATCATCTATGAGTCCTCTTAAATAGTACCTTTAATTTTATTCTGTATTGTAGCCATTATTCAGAAGCATTGAGGATAGGAAATGGTCTAGAAAGCTATTTTACTCTTACAGCTAATTCCATACTATTAATTACTTGCTAGATTCTCCTCCTGTTTGAATACATGGAAAATTATATAGGTATTGAACCATTTTGGTTGCAAAGTTAGTATGTCAATTTAGTCTCTAAGCAATGTGGTTAGAACTTTTATTTATTTCATATTTTAAATATCTGGCTTCTGAATACTTCCTTCCCAACTAAATTTGATTATGTCGTAAATCATTAGGAACAGCAGCAAGAATTCATATACATATATGTAATATTACAATCTTCGATTATTTTGATTTATTTGTTTTTTTTTTAGTTTTAGTTAAATTTTCTAACTAGTTTGAAGGCTTGTGAATTGCCTAATTCATAATGAAAAAGCTTTTCTCCTTGATTTGAATAAACCCATAATAATTCTAAAATTGATTATAATTAAGTTACTATTTTCATAGAATTTCACATCACTAAAAATGGATCACTCGATTACTTTAAAATGAAATCTAGTTTTGCCTCTTATTAAGAACAGTTAGGATAGGAATGTTATCTGATTAAGTAATGATGTAAATGTATATAAAATAAAACTAAGCAACAAATCCAGTTTGTTTTTTTTGAGATGGGGTACTGGCTTCATGCTTGTAGGCAGGAACTTTAGTCCCCCTGCCAGCCTTTTTTGGATGGGGTATTTTCGAGATAGGGTCTTGCAGCTATTTGCCAAAGCTTGTTTCAGACCTCTGTCTTCATAGCTAGAATTATAGACATGAGCCACTGATGCCTGTCTAGTTCTTAAAGTGGTTTTTGTCTTCTAAAAATTCCATATGCTTTAAAAATAGACATTTCTTACATAAGGACATTTTTTAGATTAACTTTGTTTCTGTTCTTTACTTAAACTTACTTTTTCCAGGATAGATTTTTCTGTTTTGTTTTGAGACAGAGTCTTAATGTGCAAGGGCAGGCTGGTCATAAACTTGAAATTCTTCTGCCTGAGTTCCCAGGGTGTGTGCCACTCCACCTGGCTTCAGAATAGGTGTTTGTTTTGCTTCATTTTGTATTTCTCTATAATTGATTAATATCATACCATTATTTCTTTAAAGGATTGTTCAAAAGCTTTGATTTTGATTATGGTAACCTTGTCACCTTTACAATCTATGTAATATACCCCTTTATTCAAATTTGGCTGTGTTCTATCTGGTATAGGTTTGACACTGCTTCCTTCTTTGAAATATCTTCAGAATATGGTCATTGTCTTACTCTTCTTTGTTCTTGCCTCATCACTAAGCAAAGACTATAAAATGGTGAGCTGCTTAAACATTTC